TGATTCCAAATAGAAATTGTAGATAATGCCAAGATATATACTGTATATCACATTTCAGACAAAAAATACAGAGATATGATTTTTTTTTTTTGGCCATATCATCCAGCCCTACGTCCAAGACCAAGACTAGACCACTTGAGACTTAGATCCAGACCAATACTTATCCCTGAGAGCCATACCAAGGGCTGTCCAAGAACCAACTAGTAAATTTCAGTGAGCCAAGTTGCTGAATTGACTGCAGCATTCATTTATAATGTTGAACACCTATTAACGAGAAGTTATTCAACAGATACAATGTTTTTGTTGAAAAATTTCATGTTATGACCATTTTATTAGCTTATTTTTCACCGGGTCAAAAATGACCCAGAATACAAAAATAGTTTGCAGGGTTTTTTTTTATTATTATATTTTTTTTTTTCATATATTATGATGTTGTGATGCCTAAATCACTTGTAGTCTTTAAAATGATTGATTTTAGTTTTTAGTGTTTTATTTCTAATTTATTTAGACAAAATGTGCAGCGTTTTAATATCAGGCATTAATCGGTTATTGGCCATGACATTTAAAGTGATTATCAGCTTTTCAAAATGGGCCAGAATGCTAATATCAGTGCATCCCTAACCACAGTGAATGTCATACCTGTGTCAGGTGTTCACCCGTGAATGCATGAGCCACTACCTGCGAGTGTTCAACTTCCTGTGGAGGGCTAAAAGAATGGAGTACATCCTCACAGATATATGGAAGGGTCAAATGTGTAATGCCAAACTGCTGAAGAGCATGCCGGGTGAGTGCTGTTTTCATTCTGTTAGATGTTATAAAACCAACTTAATCTGTTTGCCAGATCTACCTATCTCAGCAGACAGATGAGAGATGTGTGCTGTGTATTTGCGCAGAGCTCTCTGGTGTGCTGCACCAATGTCACGTTCTCGCTTCCGAGATGGTTCACTTCATTCATCAGATGCAGTATTACATCACATTTGAGGTACGTCCTTCTGTATGTTTGTCTTTTTCCTGTTTCTCCTTTCAACATTTGAGCCATATTATTTATCATATTTTTTTTGTGTCACTCTAGGTGTTGGAATGCTCTTGGGATGAGCTGTGGAATAAGGTCCAGCAGGCTCAGGATCTGGATCACATTATAGCAGCTCATGACGTTTTCCTGGACTCCATCATTTCTCGCTGCCTGCTGGATGTGAACAACAGGGTACGATGCACTTACACAGGGTAATTGTGTACCGGTGGTTATCCTTCGTACTTGTCCTCATTTCTGTAACTCTGTTGTCCTCTGTGTGTGTTTGCAGTCTCTGTTGAATCAGTTGCGCGCAGTGTTTGATCAGATCATTGAGTTCCAGAATGCTCAGGACACACTTTACCGCTCCGCTCTAGAAGAGCTGCAGCTACGCATCCAATTTGAGGACAAGAAGAGACAGAGGGAAGAAATGGTATGTACAGACAGTCAATCAAATCAGTGCTTTTCCACACATTTAATGCAAGTTGAATTCATTGAATCATTGTGCTTTCATCCTGTATACTGTATGCAGTCCAAAAAAAATTTTTGGGCACATTTTGACAAGTGAAATCAGAACATTTACCAGCTACTTAGTGGCCATGAAACAATTTTTTTTGTTATATGTATTTTTTCCACTTGAGAATGGGATTATTTAAAATGGGAACTGTTTATTCCTTGCAAACCTGTGACAAACAAGCATAGCATCATTATTACGTGCAGCATCACCAAAATATGATCTTCATATCTCTACTTTTTAAAACCTCCAGAATGTCTTGCCCCACAGATTTTCTACTTCTAGTGTAATACTGTAGACAGATATTGCTTATAACTGATGGAGGGTAATTTTTTAAAAGAAAATTTAAAATGTATCACCATTTCCTCAAAAATATTAAGCAGCACAACAGTTTTCATTGGTAATAATGCCATTGATAATAATAAAACAATGTTTCTTGAGCAGCAAATCAGCATATCAGAATGATTTCTGATGGATCATGTGACACTGAAGACACTGGAGTAATCAAAGCTGAAAATTCAGTTTTTCATCACAGGAGTAAATTACATTTTAAAATATATTTAAACAGAAACAGTTTCTTTAAATTGTAATATTTCACAATATTACTGTTTTTACTGCATTTTTGATCAAATTAATGCAGCTTGGTGAGCATAAGGGGTTTCAGAAACATTTGTAAAACATTTACCAAATCCATATGCTCAAAAACAAAGATGGCCATTGCTATAACCTGAAGTTCAAAGAAGGCAAGACTTCTTTAAGCAAGAACATTCCTAATGGTTAAGTCACATGTTCAGTGTGTCCATCGCTGTAATGGCGTCTGATAATCTCCATGCAAAGAGAATTATGTTCCACTCCTTTAGTTGAGTCTGAAAAGTGGCCATTAGCAAAGGTATAGGCCAAAACAAGAGTGGCTGATCCTTTTATGGGGACGGTGTTGGTTTTCAATCGTCATTGATTTTTATTTTCTTCTGTAAACAAATGTGTGTGATTGTGTGAGTGTCTTTTTCTGTGCTTGTTTATAGCTCTGTTTCTGTGTGTTTCAGGGTGAGTGGGGTGTAACAGCAGAGCAGGAGGCTGAGGAAAACAGACGTGTGCAGGAGTTTAAAGACACCATACCAAAAATGTGCTCTCAGCTCAGATTACTCACACACTTCTATCAGGTACCCTACATACCCTTTCATACACTTTAATATGCTCACTTTTTCATGCATGAAAAAGTGCTGAACCAGCAGGGATCAGCGTGAGAGAACATGCTTAATGGTGTATAGTAGAGCATTTTATGCTGATCCACACATTACGTCTGCTACAACACTTAATGTGAATTTTTTTACAATTACAGCAGAATGTGGTTTATACTTACCACATATCGTACTTGATAATACTAGATAATAATGTAGAATGAACATTGATCGATCATGTTTATATGAACATAATTTTCTGATTAAAGCCCATATTCTGGTTAAACCCTTTATTATGGAAAGACATTTATTTGCTTTAGAGCTATTTGAATATTATTGTAATATAAATGTAATCAATATATTTTGAATAAACTAAGACATGCTCCTTGTTTTCTCACTATAATCCTGTGGAAATACTGGAGATATTAAACGCATAATTGGAATATGTCCAAATTTCATTATTAGAATTGTCATGTAAACTTTTGTCTCTTTTCAGTATACTAATATGTCTTGACGATTATTGATAATTATTTTGGTTATGACCGATATTATCAATGTTTATCATCAATTTGCATGCTTGGAGGTTTAAAAAAATTATATGTATTTTTTCAAAAATGAATATAATGTTTTATATTAATTTATAATGTAATTAAAAAAAAGATTAAGTATTAAAAGAAGAAAAATTCAAAAGAAAAACCGTATGAAATCATATGACAGTCATAGTTTAAGCTCCTTGTTTTCTCACTATAATCCTGTGGAAATACTGGAGATATTAAACGCATAATTGGAATATGTCCAAATTTCATTATTAGAATTGTCATGTAAACTTTTGTCTCTTTTCAGTATACTAATATGTCTTGACGATTATTGATAATTATTTTGGTTATGACCGATATTATCAATGTTTATCATCAATTTGCATGCTTGGAGGTTTAAAAAAATTATATGTATTTTTTCAAAAATGAATATAATGTTTTATATTAATTTATAATGTAATTTAAAAAAAGATTAAGTATTAAAAGAAGAAAAATTCAAAAGAAAAACCGTATTAAATCATATGACAGTCATAGTTTAAAAATTGTACTGTATATTAAAACAGACGAATAAACGTTTTTGAAAACTTTGACACAAAACCTGACAAAAAACTACTTGAAATAAGTCCTGATATGATCTGCTTTAAATATGAACCAATACTGATAATTTCAAACCTGCTAATGTTGATTCATAACGATTAAGAGTCATCTATATACCACTAAAACTATTTAAATTATATTTATTTATTTAGGGACAATTCACAGTATATGTACTGTAACATTATTAGCTTAAAGATACATTTCATCCGTTGTCCCTGGGTGGCAGCTACAATACCAAGAGATAGAAACATGTGAACTCGGTGTAAGAGTCTAGTAAGCTCAACATTGTGTACAAACAAGCATCTGAAGCTCATATAACCCTGAGATGGTTCTTTCTCTTGTCCTTTAGGGCATAGTGCAGGAGTTTCTGCGGCTGCTAATGACGGATGAGAGTCTTCAGTTCCTCAGTTTCCGTCTGGACTTCAATGAGCACTACAAGGCTCGTGATCCGCGCCTGCGGCCCTCGCTAGGGGCCACTAGAGGGAGACGAAGCTCTAACATCTGACCTTGCAGACTTTGGGAAAGTTAATGTTATGTGGATGCTGTCAAGAGACTGTTTATTAATAGGGCTACTCAGAATTTTTCTGGCGCTCTGTAAGAAACTCATATAACAGGGAAACTGTTTATAGAATATCCTATTTCACTGTCATCGCCAAATAATTTCAGTCACACACAGTCGACTATCTAGTGGTTTTACAGTGTAATTGTCAGTAGCACAAGGTCACAGGTCTGTTGTGTTTTTGTTTGTTTTTCTTCAGTTAATGTGTGAATATTAGCTTTTGTGTTGTTTTTGTAAAGAATTGTGTTTGTGTTTACATTTTTGGTAATATTTAAGTCTATTTGTTATTTACATTGATTGATTTTCTTCTAGTGCCCTTTCTTTTTTCATTTTGAAGCGAGTTTGTTTGCCTTAATGTCTCCTGATGTTGAAAAAAAAGACACATCTGGCTGTGAAGTCAGTCAATTTCTCTGGTGCTTTTGTGGCATCCTCTGGTTCTGGATCAATGTTGAAGGAACCTTTTCCTCTTTTGAGTCCATTTTCATTATTACATATATATATTTTTGTTGTTAAGTTTGTAATTATACAGGCCGTGATCTTTGTACTGCGTGTAAAAAAAAAAAAACTTAAATGTCAACCAGTTCTTTAATTTATATGAATGGACCTGTAAAATTACATGCACTTAAATTAACTACATGACCTCTGTAAGATCCTGTAAACTCACCTCATTTCGTACATGCAAAATCAATTACCCACAATGCTGTGTGATCTTATCGAGCGTCAGGTTGATACTGTGAGGACAAAGTTACTATTCTGAAGTATTGGATTATTATGGGCAAGATTATAGATTGCTGTTGTAGTGTTTATCCCTTGTCTTTCCCATGTTCATGAAATGTATTGATGGAAATGGCTTGGTAAAGCTGGTGAAAATTTGTCTCGCCCTCCTCCCCAGTAGTGCACACTTTTGTGGTGAAGATGAAAATTGACTGATACATTTCTTTTGTCCTTGGATTCAATGGAAAAGACAGCGAGGTGCCACTGCAAGTTTTTTTTTTTTTATCGGTCTTTTAATATGTCGCAGAGATTTGAGGGTGAAGCAGAGTAAAATGATTGTCCATTAAAGGGTTTGAAACTCCTTCACTGTATAGCACACGTGTACAAAAGCAGAGTTCAAAATGAGCAAACATCCTGTCATTCTTTTCTCGAACAAATAAACCTTTTTATATAAAAATGTGGTCACTTTCCTTTTGGTTTTAAAGGTAAATTCAAAGTGCTAGTATCAATAAAGATGTGGTTCATAATTCAAATTAAAATGTGAGCAAGATATTTTATTACTAAGTTTTTAGACTTAATTTTAATATTCAAGATCGTTAACTATTGAACAACAGAATTGTGATATTTTACTGAAAGCTTTTGTGAAGTTGGTGTACTTGAGTTTGTTGCACTGATTTTATTGCCTTAAAATTACAGCAACAATAAAACTTACAGCTATACAAACTATACAGCTGAAAAGATAATTGTAATGAAAAGCTTGGTTAGTTGTAATGGATTGTACAGTAATTGTACATTTATGTATAATTGATGTAAATTTTATTATTTAGTAATTTGCATATATTACAGTGTTTACAATACAATCTCATGCATATGGTATTAAATTTTAGTTTATAGGTGCCTTTGTGCGCGTGTGTGTGTGTGTGACAGAGAGAGAGATCTACTAGACAGTAATATTTTGCTAGGATATTTGTAATGGGATATTTTTCTTAGATATTATATATAATAGATATTACCTCATGGTTTTCACCCAGAAATAATATTATTTGGGCCCTACAGCGAGGTGGAAAAGCAGGTAAGTATTTTTCATTTTCTTATTTTACACAAATTAGCCTATTTATTGAAAGAAAAAATATCAAAGAAATAGCCTATGTATCTTTCATTCGTGAGAAATGTAAGTTTATCAGTAAAATGCCATAAACAACCTAAATTTGCAACCCTGTTGTTACCTATCCTGGCATCTACAGACAAACAGACTGATTGACTGATTAATTGATTGCAAGAAAACTCCAAGATCACACAAATTAGAATTTTAAACGGTTTTTAGGCAGTTAACTTTTATTTAGCTTATTATCTAGCATGCTGTACAAAATAAACAGTGCTTAATTTATACGGCTCGCTGAAATACTTGATTTTTATTGTTTAATCGCTTAACTGCGTAGTCAAATATTTTTGTATAATGACTAATAACTGTATGGACCGTTTTCCATAGCAACATACGAGCACTACTGTATTTTCAGGTCTATATTATCAACAACGCCAGTTAAAATCCGAATGGCGCCATTCACAAATGAGGTAACGTGTATTGCAATTATACTGTATTAATATTAATGCAGTATTCGTCTTACCTTGTTGTACCTGAGTATTTTTCTTATCGGAAGCTTAAAGCTAATCTACAAGCAGTTTATATAGTAGCCTAAGTGGCCGCGTCATAAAAGGTAGATCATATGTCGCGATTTATTATGCAGTAATAATGACTTTATTGACGCGAGTTTGCTCTTTGTTTTGACTCTATCTATCTTTTGTTCACCTCTCCACGGAAACGCAGTCATGGCATCTTGAAATTCTGCTTCTCGACCACAAGGTGTCGCCATGTTCAGAAAAACCCAGAGGATCTCGGGCTCCTCGCGAAGTGAACATAATACAGGTAATGCTAATGCAGCACTAAACTCATCCACGGTTCTTTGTGCTACATCTGTGCAGTTGTTTGCTTTAACAGTAGGGAAAACATTAAGCCATTTAATATTCATGAAAACATACTCACAACATACCAGAATCAAAAATAACGGATATACCCCAGAACGAACCCAAATGTCCTTTCTTGACCTTGACGGTGATGTATAAAGCACCAGTGATGCTCTGCCCTCAGATGTCTGCAGTGTGTCAGATGTGATTTCAGTGCAGTCATTTTCTCAGACTCTGTTCTAGCTGCTAAAGAGGATAATAAGTGGATATGACATCTCACACGCTGTTATGTATGAATGCTTAAGCACATGCATGTTTGTAGGTCATGTTCTGTTTTTGTGCAGTTTTCATAAATTGCTGTCATAGTACATATTAACATCACTCATGTGCATACCTGTGTGTGTGTGTGTGTGTGTGTGTGTGCTGACTCTGCCTGGCTGATGCAGAGTGTGAGTGTGTGTATGTGTCAGTGTGTTGCTGTCTCATCCTTGCCGCTTTGCTGAGCGTCCCCTCTCTCTCTCTCTCTCTCTCTCTCTCACACACACACACACACACACTCTCTTTCTCTCTCTCTCTCTCTCTCTCTCTCTCTCTCTCTCTCTCTCTCCAGCATCTCTTGCGACAGCAGCAGCACTGGTTTGAGCAGCGAGACGGCTTCCTCTCTCCCCTCATCAGATTCCTTCTCTCCTGAGCAGCAGCACAGCGTGTCTCCGCTGCTCCTGGTTCTCTGTGTCCTGCTCATCATGATCCTGTGGGTGAAGATGGGAGAGGACTCTCTGGAGGAGCTCGTCAGACGACTTACTGTTATCATACATAAAATCGGTAGGAGGAGCTGTGAGTGTGTGTGTGCGTGTGTCAGTAGCGTCAGTAGTATTGGGAGAAATATATGAGGATTGTAGCTCAAGGTTGTTTGCAGCTTCTGTTTGTCTTTGCTTTAGTAAACATTTGAGAATGTGTTGTGCTGATTTTACCTCTGAATAAATGAATCCTTCCAACCCATAAAACCACAACAGCTTTTATATTTAGACCTTTATTAAGTTTAGTAGTTCAGAATCGTTTCTGTTGATGACATCACTTATAAGCCTGAAATTGAATTCCATCTGAATTAGAACTTTCCCAACATTCTCAGATAAAAAAAAAAAAATTCAATTAGAATTTGAAATTGGTATTTTGAATGTAATTTTTTAAAATTAGAATTTAATTCAAATTTTTACAAATCAAATTAAAAATACCAATTTATTTAAATATAGGCTGTTTTTAAAAGAATTAAAAGTTAAGTTAAAATTTCACAATTCTAATTTTCAAAGTTCTAACTTAATTCTAATGGAATTAAGTGAATTAGAACTTTTGAACTAGACATTGAATTTTGAATTTGAATTTGAGTTTTACATTTGAAATTAGAAATAGAATGAAATTAGAATTAAGAAGTTATTTTTGAATTGCAGTTAGACTTTTGACTTGTAGGTTCTCTTTCTCACTGTCTGTGGTGGGTAACCCTAGCTGTGTTTTTATGCTGTCTTCCTCCTCTCATTCTCTGAGGAGTTCAGTTTGTCCTATTTCCCTACATCTGAGCAGTCTGCCACTGGCAATGAGCTAAAAACACACACCAACACAATGAAACAGCAAACACGCAAAGTGTAGTAACATTCTTTCTCACATTCAGTCTTTCAGAAATATTATATGTCTGTAAATGGGTCATCCTTTAGTCAGGAGGTTTTGGCCTTTAGCGTTCTGGTGTATAAAGATACATGGTACTGTTTACACTGTGGTGAACTTACGCTCAACCTGTTCACATTCCCACACTCACTTATTTGCTGAAGTTCTACTAAAGGAGTTATCATTAATTTCTTCCCAGTACATCTGAGCAGTCTGCCACTGGCAATGAGCTAAAAACACACACCAACACAATGAAACAGCAAACACGCAAAGTGTAGTAACATTCTTTCTCACATTCAGTCTTTCAGAAATATTATATGTCTGTAAATGGGTCATCCTTTAGTCAGGAGGTTTTGGCCTTTAGCGTTCTGGTGTATAAAGATACATGGTACTGTTTACACTGTGGTGAACTCACGCTCAACCTGTTCACATTCCCACACTCACTTATTTGCTGAAGTTCTACTAAAGGAGTTATCATTCATTTCTTCCCAGTAATGATATGACTTGCAGAACACAAGGTTGCATGAGCAGGCGTGCAGAATATTTATTTTATATTTCTGCCTATTAATCAGTATTTTTGTTTTAAACAAATTGAGCAATGACCCACAGTCACCAGAAATACTGTAAAATATTTGTAAGTATTAAAAATATTAAGCAGCACAACTGCTTTCAACATATATAATAATAAGAAATGCTTCTTGAGCAGCAAATCAGCATATCAGAATGATTTCTGAAGGATCATGTGACAATTACGACTGGAGTAATGGCTGCTGAAAATTCAGCTTTACATCACAGGAATAAACTACATTTTAAAATATATTCAAATAGAAAACAGTTGTTTTAAATTGTAATATTTACTGTTACACAATATTACTGTTTTTAATGTATGTTTGATCAAATAAATGCAGCCTTGGTGAGCATAAGAATAATTTTAAAAAATTGAAAAAATCAAACTTTTGAACGGTAGTGTATATTGAGCCTAATCAGACTCAAATATAAATATGCATTTATATCAGATATAAATATGTATGAATTATATACTGGAAATAAGCATCAGATGACTTGCTGTGGTTTTTAAAAGGAAAACCGAAAGAACCAGAGTTTATTGTGGGGATCAACTAAATGAAAACATTGGAATAAACATACTAAACTGTGCATTTATGAGAATCTAAAAATGCAGAACGATTTTTGTGAATTTAGTGGATGGTATTAATTCAGTATTATTAGAAGTTAATTGAAAGTTCCCACCATCATAGAAAAAGAACTCAGCTGGCATGTGACTGACCTAATAATTATTTAGACTGACTAAATAAACTTTTTCAATTACCCATAAAAAAAAAAGTTGAAATGCAGCCTGGGAATATGCGTGTGAGTTTGTGTGTGATATGCTAGCAAATTTGTCCTCTATGTTGACCTGTGTCTCTCATACAGTATGCTACATTTTGTGTCTGAAAAACTTCATGCGGAACCTGCAAGTGTTTATTAGGTGTTAAAAACTCTGTCTAGCCAAAGAGCTAATGCTGTCCTACAGCTGTCCGCTCATGCTCACAATCTCTTTCTCTCACACTTACACATGACATAACGTCTGCACTCATAATGTCACCCATTGTGCAAATCTAGCTTATCACATCTCCCAGTGTAGTGACGGTTAGATTGTGATGTGATCACAGATCTAAGTCAGAGGTAATAATAAAGATAAATCTTTGATAAATGATAAATCCTGATAAATCTTTTACGACTGGTCTCATAAAAACTGCAGCGATCTGACCTTTAAAGTGATAGTTTCTCTAAAAATGAAAATTCTGTCATTGGACCCCACTGACTTTATGGAAAGAAACAAAGACATTTTTCAAAATATATTCTTTTGTGTTCTTTAGAAGAAAGAAAGTCATACAAGTTTGGAACGACATGGGGGAGAGTACATTCATTTTCATTTTTGAATGAATTATTCACTATTATAAACACACAGTTCAGTGACACGACTGAAGCAAATGCATCTTCTTCCATTGAAAGCAACATAGGCCTATATTGCTAATAATTATAATAATCATTTGCTTGATAAAGCCAACATACTTAACTATTTAAGCTTATTATTATTTTATTTTTTTAGAAAAAATTTCTAACAGTATCTCGTCCTAGAGTTTATATGACCACCAAACTCGACACAGACCTTTGGGATGTTCTGACTGATTATGCTAGAAACATGCTAGCAACGTGCTAAAACATGCTAGCAATGTGCTGAAATACCCTGTGTGCTAAGTCATGCTAGCAGTGTGGCAAAACTTGTTAAAAACATGCTACCAACATGATAAAACATGTCAGAAATATGCTAGCAATGTTTTATAAAACGTGGTAGTAATGTGCTAAATCATGTTAGCAATGTGTTAAACCATGCTAGCAGTGTGTTAAAACATTAACAAAATGTGTAAACAAAAAGTGTTAAAATTTTGTGCTAGTGATGGGATAACATGCTAACGTCATGCTAAACATGCTAGCAACCTGTTAAAAGCTAAAACATGCTAGAAAAATGCTAGCAGCATGTTAAAATATTAAATGCTAATATTAAGAAATGCTAACAATTGGAAACATGCGATGCCTAGAAACGTGGTCTGATGTGGCTTCTTAGTAATCTTATGACGTGTAATTGGGTCTGAAAAGGTTTATTGGAGACTGAACTAGTTTGATAAGGTTTCTTGGGGGTCTAATGAAGTCGAATGGGGTCTGAAGTGGTCTAATATGGTCTGTCTGAGATTATATTTGTTTTTCTTTCTTCATCTGACTTACTATCTGACACTAAAACCTTAAAATCTCAAGATTTCATACTTTCAGGACAGGCTTTGTCAAGTATGTCATCAGATTTTATCTATCTAGTTGTTTGATTTATAGTACTGTAGATGTTTTATCAGTGACAATATGTTTGGAAGGTTCTAAAAAGCGTTGATGTCTCAGGTCAGGATATCCAGTAGTGGAAGAGTATAATACAATACTGATACAAATAGCAAATTTGTAATGTGTTTTATGATAGTTTTATATGCTTTTACCTCTATTTAGCACAGATTATAATACGGCTTTAAATACTGTACAGTGTCTGTGGGTTGCTGTGGTAACGGGTTCTGCGGTCTTTCAAGAGGAGGCTGTTTTCTTCTGTAGGGTTGCTTCCACCGTGGTAATAGGATGAGAAATAGAGGGCTAAATTACATGCTGGGAAGGCCTTTGCCCAAACCTTGGCTGGCAGTTTCTCTCTCTCGCTCTTCTTTTATCTGTTTTCTGAAGACGACAGTGCCAAGGGTGAAACAGGGAGAGATTCAGAGCAATAAGAGAAACAGAGAGTGACTGTGTGTGACAGAGAAAGAGAGAGACAGAACTTCTTTCAGATAACAAATAACTGTGACCTGTCATATATTGTGTTAACTGTATATGTAAACTAGATTTTTATATTTTCATTTGAAAATATAAGCACTGCTTGACCTTGCAAAATGATGCGTTGTTTGTACTAGGGCGTTGCAAGGTCTAGCCAGGACAAATTAAGTCTCTGTAGAGCCATCCACATGCATATTCATTGGTCATATTTTTTAAAAGTGCATGATAATATAGTTGATGAAAGGGTGTATTTTATATATGGTCATCCAATTGCATATATGAATTATACAAACCCACTTAAAGAAGCATGCTACTTGCAGTCCCATGCATTATTTAGTGTGTGTATCCCTGCAGTCTGTTCTCTGATCTATTTGGGCGAATGTAGGTGACTGTAAAAGGTGTACAGGTGGTCCATACTAACCCTAAGATGGCTTATCCTGTATCTGCATCTGACTCCTCATCAAACACACACACACACACACGCACACACACATATATACATTGGTTTTTCTATCATGGTAAAGACTTTTCATTGACTTCCATTAGAGTTTGTTTATTCCCTAACTCTCTGCTTTTATGCATTTTCATATATTCATACTAAATTATTTAATGTGTTTATCAAGCTGGTTTTTGGTACTTAGAATGTTTTTTATTGAGCATATATTTTGTTTAGGATATTTAATCATATTCAACTCAGGAGGATATTGTAAAATGTCTGATTGAATTATTCTTAAAAAAAGGTTACAATTCATGTAAAGAGCTCTTGCTTCTGTTTAGAGAAAGTTAGTCAGTTTGACCCCTAAGTGGCGCACAAGAATGCTGGAGATTAGTGTCTATGATTGTGTGTGTGTGTGATTAGCAGAGCAGAAGGGGATTTGTGCTAAAACTCTCCCTCCCCTCTCTTCCACTCTTCTCCTCTCCTCTGCAAGAATACGTGTGTGTTTGTTGCGACAGCATGCATGAATGCCGGGGTAGTTTCTTTACAAACAGGAGGTCCGAGATGCGTCTGTATGCAGCCTCTCTCTGCGAGTCCCATCTGACAGAGGAAGCCCTCTGAGACCAGCACTGGGCTGCTGTAGTCTTCCCAGCATTCTCTTGGATCAGATCGTCCTGGCTTGGGATTTCATTGGTCTTAGTTCAGATTGCCCTGGTGCAGTCAGGACTGTTTTAGCATCGGCCTGGACCGAATGTGGATCGATCTGAATTGGTTTTGGGCTGGTTCCGAGACATCAAGTCGAGCAGAGGCCAGTCAAGACTGGTTTGGTGCATGTGGGAGCCAGTTTAAATGTCTCTGCATGAGTTTCTTCGGGAGGGTCAGGACGCCCCACAGCGGATCCTGTCCCGACTGACCCAGCTCCTCTACAACCTATCGGCCACGGTCTTACAGGGGGTCCCCTTCTCTCCTTTCACAACCTTCAGCCGCAAGAACTCCTGGAGGGACTGGAACGGTGAGAGACCAGAATATCAGTCTGTGTTTGGTGTAGTTGCTTTCAGATGGTTTTGCTGAGGAAACAGGATGGGAATTGCTGACTGCCTCTGTTAGATTCATTCTGTTTTAATACACTTTGTGACGTACTTGAGCAGTTAAAGGAATAGTTCAACCAAAAATGAAACTTATGCCATCATTTACTCACCCTCATGTTATTCCAAACTCATTTGACTTTCCTTCTTCTGAGGAACTACAACATTTTGAAGAATGTAGTACCAGTTGATCTTTTTCATGCAGTTTCAATAAATGAGAACTGAAACTTTCAGGCTTCAGTAAGCATGCAAAAGTACCTTAAAGGTCTCATAATTACTTAAATTTAGGTTTGTATCTCACAAAAAGCTGTCTTAAAGTAAAACAATAAACTAACACACAAGTAATGTGGACTTTATGATACTTACACATAAGATATTTTTTTGGTGCCTTTGTGTATTTTTGAAGTTTAAAAACTTCAGTGTCCATTCTTAGTAATTGCATGGAAAGGAATGACCCGCATATTCTTTAAAATATCCCCTTTTGAAATAAAAGTCATACAGGTATGGAGTGACATTAGGATGAGTAAAGGTCCGTTCACACCAAGGCTGACAACTATATAAAGATAACGTTTTAAAATGGTTCTGATTCTATGGAATTAAAATTGAAATCACTTATACAACTATTTTTTACAGCTAGAAAACAATAAAAACATTAATAGTCAATCAAAGTTCACCTGACTTTAAAGAGCTTAAGCATTTAAAGTGTCAGATGACAGAACTGCAGCTTGCACTTATAATAAACAGAACATTATCTTCCATTGTTGTGGACGCTAAAATATCTTTATAGTTCTCATTCTTGTGAACAGGCCTTAAATAAAGTATGGAATGGACAAACTATTCCTTGAACATGGTGTGTCCCCATGGTGTGTGTGTGTGAAGTTGAGAGGTGGTTTCCTCGTGGGATTTCTCTCACATCATTGAGATGCATGTGGATGGCCCATTGCCCAGATCACATTGACACACATCCTCTCTCTTTCTCTTTCTCTCTCTTGCTCAGACACTTTGTGCTAAAAGTTTTGTTTTCACAGTAAAACAGTGCGTCTCAGCATAGAGCTGGACTGGTATATTTAGGGAACACACATGGCATGAGAAACTGAAATAGCGTATCATCTCAACTTCTCCAAAAAATAATCACACACACATACCCATAACAAACTGAACAATTGCTTTGCTTTGCATAGTACACAGTAGACAGACTAGGGAATACACACACACTCAAAAACAAGACACTGACAAGGACAACTTGTGGCAGTATCTGTACTGGAGAGCAGATGTCAGACGTCCTAAAATGTGAGTAAATCTCTGATCTTAATCCGCTCTGTGTCTGCTTCTCGCTCGTAACAGGATGCTGCTTAAGTCGGAGTGTGTTTTTGTGTGCATTTGCTCTTTGATGTTTGACTTTCTGTGTGTTTAATATGAAACGATTCCCAGCATCCTTGTGATGTTGTCACACTCATTTGTTCTGAATCTGCGCTATGCAGACAAGCTATTTTGGACATCATTATCTGTCATATGCAGACTATCTTTTTAGACTGATCTCAGCCCAGCTTTAGCATGAAGTCTTCAAAGTCTTTTATTATTAGAATATGATGTTTGTACACCACTTCTAGCCAAATTGTTCCTTGACTGCCTGTGTGTAGGGTTTTTTTAACTGTTAGCATCACTGTTACTATTGGGCATCAGTTTTGTTTTATTATCGTTTTATATGTTTTATTAATATTTAGTTTATTGAGATGCACCTGTATATATATATATATATATTTATATTTTTTTTTTTGTACATTTGATGTGTTTTTTTGTCATTTTAAAAAGTTTTTGTTTTTATAAATGGGTCAATATAATTTTTTTTTTTTTTTTATGTTTTAGTTTGAGTTATTTTAATACATCAAGTTATTATTTTAATACATGAAATAATGAAGAAATGTTGCCTTGGCAACTAGCTGAAGTAAAATCACTTTTTAATATTTTATTTTAGTTAACATTTATTTTATTTGAAGTAAAAAGGGTGTTTTTATTAAATCATGGCCACGTGGAGTTCTCTAGTCGGTACGTTGTAATGGTGTCTGGTAATGGTTAACTACACCTGCAGGTTTGAGCGGTTTGCGTGAGGTCAAAGTATAATGGACAGCAGTTAGAGTGGTGAAGCGTGCTGGATCCATATATGCCTGTGTTTGCTGTGAGAAGTAAATCCTGATAATCAGAAATGGAAACATTGTGCTGTTTCATCCATGGACCTGGGAGGACACAAACCAGATACACGCAGACCCTGCAATCAGGTAAATGTGTTTGGTCTTGAACTGAGCTCTGAGACTATGAGAAGTATTTCTGACTTGCAGAAATTTAATGTATAACTCCATATACAAAAATCTTAAATAATATGTAAAATAATTATAACTATTAAAAATACAAAATTAAATTGTAAATATGACGATGGATCAAACACTGTACAAAAACGGTGAAATTGACAGTAAAACAGCAGCTGTGGTTGCCAGAATTTTACCGTCAAAAAATATAGTTGCAACATTTTAAGCTATGGTTTTTTACTGTACATTTAATTTCAATATTTCATTAACTGAAATAATGTTAATATACAAAATTACTAAAATCTGTTTTTTACCGTTATGACAACCACCTTAAAACACAAGTGATAAAGAGAAAGCCACATGATGAATCATGAAGTTCATCAAAAGCAGCTTTTCCAGAATTAATAGTAATATATAGAAGGTGCTTAAAAATACCATCATGTGTTAACACATGACAAATAATAATAAAATAATGCAATAAACAACAACAAACTATGTAAATTGTTCCATTTGTTTCTTTCTCTTTTTTTCAAAAGAATACATAATGAATCATAATTAAGAACTCCATTACGTTTACTGAAAGAATAGCAAATTATTCTTCTTTTGTGCATTTATTTGAAAATCTGTTATTAATGCAAATGCATGTGATACTGCCCTAAATCACAGGTGAGATAAGAGTGTAATGTGTTTGTGTACGAGTGCATGTGTGTGCAGAGCCGCTTTGTTGTGGGGCGTTACCAGCATCTGAGATGGGCGTGACAAATAGCGTCACGTTCCTGGCTGCAGCACTTACACCTGAGAGAGAAAGATACAGCGTCACAGAGAGACAGAAAGGCCATACTTTTAAATAAACCCCTGAGTGAATCATGTAAGACTTGATTTTGTATATGCATCAACGCTAGGTGATCAGTACTAATCCACTATACAATATAGTACAATTTATCAATGCATTGTAGCCTTGTGAACTTCTCTCTTTGATTTTGCTGTAGTGTGGGTTTGAGCCATCAGCCTTCTCCTCATATTTGTTTGCTCTGAGTAAACGTCTGCCCTCACTGAGTTCATATATACTCAGCAGTACTTTGTCTTGTTGAAACAGCCCATAATGTAGTGTATGTTTACTCTATCAAATGTCTTGTTGCATGGATTTCACTGTTTTCAGACACCGGCACTGACAGAACAAAAACGGACTCATTATGAGCATTAGAGTTATTGACTATTTAGAGCATTAAGAGGATTTTCTGTTTTTGAATATTAAAATTTAATTAAAAAACATACTTTGTATAAATGATTATTTATGTACAAATATTAAATATATTAGATGTAATATATTATATTGAATATTTTTTAATTCTCCCAGTCCTCACATCAGCCAGCATTTTTTATTGACTTTGTCCCTCTTTGGCTTTGGCTTTGTCAGTATATATTAGAGCCAATGGCCTCCATTTCCTCCTCATAGTTGCTGCTCTTGCTGAGTTCAGCCTTGTTTTGGCAGCCCCTACAATAGCGTGTGTTTGCTGGGGCAAATCTCTTGTTTTGTGGCTGAGGGTTTGTTTGATTATTTTTGGACACAAATTTTTAAGGCATAAATGACATTGTCATTTACGATGTTGTAATTAGATGCACCTGCTGGCATATTGCTCTGTGGGTGTGGTTCTTCAGCATGGCTTCTCTCTGTGCTGCTTGAGTATTTTGCATAACCTTTGCAGTGGGAACATCACAACGAACATCATACAAGAAAAGTCTGTGCTCTCCTCTAACGCACATGCGCTTGTGAAGCGGTAAGAGGATACAAGAGCATGTCTTTATTTGCTTATGGGGTTGGTGAGGTTTGCTTATATAGTGTTATGAGGACACAGTTCAGAAGGGAGGGTTGATCTTAAACTGCTCTAGGTTTGGTCTACACTGTTTATTTTGGATCAGCTTGTCTGGTTTATGATGCCCAACCTTATGTCAGTCAACATAGAGGAAACCTAGTCAGCCATTTTGGCTCTGAGCATCCACCGTGTGGCTGTAGAGTTCTGCTGTTTAAGCCACTTAGGCTCAGATGAGCTGTATGCTTGTCCGTTAATTAGTACTGCTGATCACCAGAGATTGAAGGTACGGTGTCATCTCTCATGGGAGCAGAGGCAGTGCAGTAACAAACTGCCAATGAGCACACTTTGTCGAGAGCTGCAGCTTTACATATGTACAAGGCCATACTTTTAAATAAACCCCTGAGTGAATCATGTAAGACTTGATTTTGTATATGCATCAACGCTAGGTGATCAGTACTAATCCACTATACAATATAGTACAATTTATCAATGCATTGTAGCCTTGTGAACTTCTCTCTTTGATTTTGCTGTTAGTGTGGGTTTGAGCCATCAGCCTTCTCCTCATATTTGTTTGCTCTGAGTAAACGTCTGCCCTCACTGAGTTCATATATACTCAGCAGTACTTTGTCTTGTTGAAACAGCCCATAATGTAGTGTATGTTTACTCTATCAAATGTCTTGTTGCATGGATTTCACTGTTTTCAGACACCGGCACTGACAGAACAAAAACGGACTCATTATGAGCATTAGAGTTATTGACTATTTAGAGCATTAAGAGGATTTTCTGTTTTTGAATATTAAAATTTAATTA